ACCGGTGCCCTGTAGTTAGGTGCATATACATTGATAATTGTTATATCTTCCTGTTGAATTGATCCCTTAATCATTATGTAGTGTCCCTCTTTGTCTCTCTTAACGGTTTTTGTGGTAAAGTTTATGGTATCTGATATTAAGATGGCTACGCCCGCTCTTTTTTCATTTCTGTTGGCATGGTATATCTTTTTCCAGCCTTTCACTTTCAGTCTGTATGGATCTTTGTTGGAAAGATGTGTTTCTTGTAAGCAGCAAATAGATGGGTTTTGTTCCTTAACCCAATCAGCCAATCGGTGTCTTTTAACTGGACAGTTCAGGCCATTCACGTTCAATGTGACTAATGATAAGTGGTAACTTTGCCCTGCCATTTGCCAAAGATAAGTTCTAATATATGCTTTGAATTCCCTGTGATCTTTTGCTGTGAGCTTTCCTTCCTTGGTTTCCTTCCTTTACCATCTTTCATATTGATGACCGTGTTTCTTTGTTTCTGTGTGTAACACATCTTTAAGCATCTTTTGCAGGGCTGGACGAGTGGCAACAAATTCTTTCAATTTCTGTTTGCTATGAAAAGTCTTTATTTCACCTTCATTCACAAATGATAGCTTTGCAGGATATAATATTCTGGGCTGGCAGTTTTTCTCTCTTAGTACCTGGGCTATATCTCGCCATTCCCTCCTAGCTTTTAGAGTTTCTGATGAGAAGTCAGCTGTGAGTCTGATTGGAGATCCTCTGAGAGTAATCTGACGTTTCTCTCTTGCACATTTTAGGATCTTTTCTTTATGTTTCACTGTGGAGAGTTTAATTACAACGTGTCGTGGTGAGGATCTCTTTTGGTCGTGTTTATTAGGGGTTCTGTGAGCTTCCTGTACTAGGATTTCTCTGTCCTTCTCCAAACCTGGGAAATTTTCTGCTAATATCTCACTAAAAAGGCCTTCTAATCCTTTCTCCCTCTCCATGCCTTCAGGAACTCCTAGAACCCGAATGTTGGGTTTTTTAATAGTATCCTGAAGATTCCCAACAATATGTTTTAGATTTCTAATTTCCTCTTCTTTTCTTTGGTTTGACTGTATCCTTTCCTGTTCTCTGTCTTCTAAGTCCGATATTCTCTCTTCTGCTTCACCCATTCTGTTTGTAAGGCTCTCTATTGTGTTTTTCATTTGATCTATTGAATTCTTCACTTCAGTCACTATCACAGTTTCCTGTTGTACTAGTTGTTTCGTTTCATTTTGATTCCTCCTTAATATTTCATTTTCACGAGAGAGATTTTCTATCTTGTCCATGAAGGATTTCTGTAGTTCAAGAATTTGTTTTTGAGAACTTCTTAATGTTCTTATCAATTTTTTGAGATCTGTTTCTTGCATTTCTTCTATGTCATCATCCTCATAATCTTGAATTGTGGTGTCTTTTTCATTTGAGGGCGTCATGTTGACTTCCTTGTTTTTATTACCTTGGTTTTTGCGTTGTTATTTGGCATATTGGAGATATTTGGTTTCTTCACTGTGGTGCTTTTTCTTGTTATACTATGACTCTAGATGAAGTGGACTATCTGTTTTTGATGGAGCCTTAGGGCTTGAGATGGGTGTGGCCTGAGAGCTCTGTTTGGTGTGCCAAAGGTGACACTCCCAGGTTAGGCGTGGTAAACCTCTCTCTCTCTCTCTTTTTTTTTTGATTCAAAAGGGAAGTTATTCTGCACAGCTGAACGAAGTTGGAGGTAGTTAGCAGGCAAATGATATACCTGCAGGAGCCAGAGATCGGAAGCTCTTTCCCAAGGACCACACAGGGAATCTGTTCGGCCCTCAGAGTGGGCTCAAATTCTCCTTCAGTCTCCCACTGGGTTGCCAAAGTTATGGAATTGTAGCGTCTCTGGAGAGTGCTCACGTGAATTCCGTGAGTTCTCTCCCCCACCGTCTCTTTTTTCACAGTCTCAGTTCAGTAGCACCACAAATTTACTAGGTCCTAATCTCCTGTTAATTCGCCCCGCCCAGAGTCAGGTTTTTCTGCTAGGCTCAGGGCCGGTGCAGACCTGAGGTCGCTCTGCTTATGACGTATGTCCAAGATGGCGCCTGCTGTTTGTCTTGCTCGCCCTTGAGAGGTGAGCGGAGAGAGAGAAACCCGTGTCCGTACCAGTCACCTTTTTTTTTTTCCTCTCTCTCTCTTCCAGGTAGCCTGGTGAAGTTCCCCCCCTCCCCCCCGGGGGTCGTTCCCTCTAGTCTCCTCTCTCCGCTTGCCTGCTGGTGTCTCGGGCTATTGAGGTTCGGCTCACCTCGCGTTCCAGCGCTGGTGTGTTGAGTCTGCCGCTGGTGTCCCGAACTGTGGGCTCCCACGCTCTCCCACGCTCTGGAAGGGTCCGCTCCCCTTCCAGCGCCGATGTATGGACTCGGAGCCCTGGACGTCCCAAGTCTCCCCTCTGTTGTCTGTGTGGCACGCACTCCCCTTCGAGCACTGGTGCGCAGACCCTGCAGCTTGCGCAGCTCGGTCCCGCGGCTCGGCTTCCGCGGCTTGGTCCCGCGGCTCGGTCCCGCGGCTCGGCTTCAGCGCAGTGGGCGACCTTGTTCTCCCAGTAGGTCCTCCGATTCACGGCCACTGGATCCCGAAGAGTTTCCTCTGCAATATTTTCCTGGTTCTTTTTTCTGAGGCTACCGTAACTCCCCTTTTATTAAACTAAATTTTCCCAGACTATCGGTGCGCACCCTCACTATTCCGCCATCTTCTAAAAGTCCAAAAGTTTTAAGTCTCATCTAAAACTCAAGGCAACTGCCAGCTGTAAGCTTATAAAAATCCAGGTTACATGCTTCCATGACAGACTTGGGGACAGGCACAGGGTAAACATTTCCGCTTCAGAAACTTCAGGCAAGCAGAAAGGTTTAATCAGATCAAGACCTAAATCCAGCAGGGAACACATTAATTCCCAGAGTCCAGCACCTGGAACACGCTGTGGTGGGCAAGGCACCAAGGGCTTGGGCCGCGGTGGTCCTTGGGCTTTTCTAGTCATAGCCCATGCTTCATTCTCACAGGCTGGAGTTTTGATATCTGCAGCTCCACGAGGCCTGGCCCTGGTGGGGAGACTCTGCAGAAGCTCCGACCTCACCTGTCGGCCTGCATTGCCCTAGTGGAGGTTCCCTGCAGTGGCTCTGTCCCTGTGGCGGTCTCCACCTGGACTCACAGCATACTTTGAAATCTAGGTGGAGCCCACTGTGCCTCTACAGCTCTGTTGCTCTCTTCTATTCACCGACTCTCTGAGGCTACACACTGAGGTTGGTGGCTTTCCCAGGCAGGTGTTGAACATTACTGTTTGCTCTATCTATCTGGGATTCCCCTCTACAGTTCCACTGGGCATTACCCCACTGGGGGCACCTTGCAGGGGTTCTGACTCTACAGCAAACTTCGCCTGGCTTCCTAGACTTTTCTTTGAAGTACTGATGGAAGCCACCATGACCTCCTCAGTCTTGTCGTTCTGAACACCTGCAAAGCCAGCATCGTGTGGAGAGTTCCAGGATCTGCTGCCTGTACGAGCTGCACCCAGGCCCCCTTGAATCACCGCCACAGCTGTGGAGCACTTTGCCAGCTGAACGTGGGAAGTGAGCCCTGAGGCGGTACGGAGCACGCTCTCGTGAAAGCCCTGGCTTCATGACACAATTCATCCTTTCCAGGCCTCTGGGTGATGGGGGCCAGGAGGGACGCTCAGAAAACTCTGAAGTCTTCGGGGTCTTTCTTCCCATTGTCTTCCTGCTAGTATATGGCTTCCTTTGACCTGCACTAGTATCTTTAGCAAGAGGCTCTCATCCTGAATGCACGCTCATACCAGGTTGTGAAGTTTCCAAATCTGTATGCCCATATCATTTTTCTCACTGTGAAAGGGACTAAAATGATTAATAATATCCAAGCTGCAGCCTGAATGCTTCCGTTTTGAAATCTCCTCCACCCAAAAAAAACTAATCCATCAGCTTTAAGTTCAGCTTCCCACGAAGTCTCAGGCATCAAATGTAGCCAGATTGTTTTTGCTGCCACTATGTGACAAGGGTGGCCTTCAGTCCAATTCCCAGTAGAATTCTCATTTCCATCTGAAATCTCATCAGCATGGCCTTGACCGTCCGCATTGCTATCAGCATCCTGGCGCCTTAATGCTGAGCTTACTGCATTTTGGTCTCGCTCTAGCCTCCTCCTCCAAACTCTTCCATAAACCAATTCCAAAGGCTCCTCCACACCTCCACGTGTAGGGACAGTAATGACCCCACTCCTCAGCACCAATTTTCTGTTCTTCAGCCTTTTGTCACCATTTCTAAGTGTACCTAAGACAAGCTACTAATGAAGGGAGGAAATTGGTTTCAGCTCGGAGTTTCAGTCCGAGCTCAGGCGGCCCTGATGTTTTGACATCTGATGAGGGTGGTGGATAGGGAAGCTGTACAGAATAAGGGCCACATAACGAGCCAGGAGGCAGAGAGGGGCTGAGCCCAATGAGCTGCTATCACCCACCTTCTCACCAGAACTACCTTCCAGAGGCACGCTCCATCCCCCCAAGGACCTAAGTACCTCCCATTAGGCCCATCTCTTAAACCACAATTGGGGGGTTGGCGCCATGGCTCACTTGGTTAATCCTCCGCCTGCAGTGCCGGCATCCCATATGGGCACCGGTTCTAGTCCCGGTTGCTCCTCTTCCAGGCCAGCTCTCTGCTGTGGCCCGGGAGGGCAGTGGAGGATGGCCTAATTGCTTGGGCCCCTATACCCGCATGGGAGACCAGGAGGAAGCACCTGGCTCCTGGCTTCGGATCAGCGCAGCGCCAGCCATAGTGGCCATTTGGGGAGTGAACCAAAAACAACAACAAAAAAACAAACCACAATTGGACTAAGTTCCCATACTCTTACTGGCAATGGCTTATGACCTTTGAGCTTTAAATATCTGCATGATTCGGGAGCCATGGCCTGTTTACACCATAGCACCAAGAATTCCACTACCTGCATCAACTGTTTCTCATCAGTTGTCATTGTTTTGTCTATTTCAGCCACAGAAATCGCAAGGAAACTCAACAAAGAAAGTCAAATCCAAAAAAGTGGATCCTCTCAAAGGCCAGAAAGTTATTGCAAGATGTGATGAAAATGGCTTTTATTTTCCAGGTAGATTTTTTTGTTTGTTTTGTTTTACTTGTGAGACCTTCTTAGTTGAATAATTTGATATTAGAGACCAGGGACTTCATCTAGTGCTTTCCCTAGCACACCAGCGTCTCCTGAGCTCGGTGAGTAAGCATCCCACTTCTCAAAGAAAACGATGATGAGTTTTGGGGGCAAAAAAAAAATAATGATAGCTAGAAAATATCTCTTAATCTCTCCTGGTTAAGAAGTAAATTTTTATTGCATGCCTCCTATGATCTATGTATGTAATAACTGTGAAAGTACCAGCCTCGTGCAGTCAGCAAACAGGTGAAAATTCCTGTCTTCACAGGGGACAGAAGCTTAGAGAGGGAGAGAAGAAAGCAAACAAGTGAAACATGGAGTACATCCCATGCGGTGCTAGAGCACAAACTCGAGCCAGAGTGTCAGGATGAAAGTTGCAATTAGAAACGCGATGGTTAAGGAAGAGCCTCTGGGGAGGGTGACCGTCGATGAGGAGGGGTGCAGCGTGAGATCATGTGAGGGAAGGGAGTTCCAAGCAGAGGGAACAGCAGTGCAAAGGCCCGAGGCTGGCGTGCACACGGCATGGTGAAAAAGAGCGGGAAGACCAATTTAGCTGGATGAGAGTTTGCCCAAGACTGAAGGAATCACCCAGGTGCAGGTTGGCAGGAGTGGAGCTAGAACGGGAGCTTCATGGAGAGTGAGAGTACAATGTTCGATGTCTAGAGGAATCAAACTGATTGTGGGTGGAACCCACCATGCAAAGGAAAGGTAGAAAATATTGAAGTTCCTCAGAGGGGTTGGTATGGGGCCATCCATCATCCATAAGGGGTCCTGTTAAGGGGTTTGAGCTCCACTCTCGGCTTTGGGAGCCAGAGTTAAAGCAGGGATAAATGCAGTTTTCAAAAGATCCCTTCCATTGCCACGGGAAGTATGGACATGGAGTGAATGGGGCTGTCACTCAGTCCCTGGCGTGGGCCACTAGGTAGGTGGTGGTGCCCACAGCAGATGGTGGAATGGGTGGGAAAGCACAGAACTGTGTCCAGGATGCAAGCAACTGTATAGGTGCCTGGGAGGCGCCCAAGTGAAGAGGTCAGAAAAGCTATTGGAGAGAGGGTCTCAAATCCAGAGAGGAAATCCGTCTAGAGATCTCGCAGACATCAACACAAAGGTCATTGCTGAAGTCACGAGAAGGGTCTGTGGGGAAAGAAACCTGGGAGGAAACTCTGTCAGAAAAAAAAAAAAAAAAAAAAGCCAGCGCTGCAGCTCACTAGGCTAATCCTCTGCCTGCGGCATCGGCACACCGGGTTCTAGTCCCGGTGGGGGCGCTGGGTTCTGTCCCGGTTGCTCCTCTTCCAGGCCAGCTCTCTGCTGTGGTCCAGGAGTGCAGTGGAGGATGGCCCAGGTCCTTGGGCCTTGCACCTGCATGGGAGACCAGAAGGAAGCACCTGGCTCCTGGCTTCAGATCGGCGCAGTGCGCAGGCCACAGCGGCCACTTGGGGGGGTGAACCAATGGAAAAAGGAAGACCTTTCTCTCTGTCTCTCTCCCTCTCACTAACTCTGCCTGTCAAAAAAAAAAAAAACTTTGGCTGCAGAAACAAAACTGGTCTTGCATAGGCATTCTCTATCAATCACCCATAAAAAGAACAACTATTCACTAAATTTAATTAAATAATATTTTGGGGTGGGAAAAATACTTCATGAAGCAGGATTTTTGGTCTCCAGCAGGCACATGTGTAGAACCAGAACATCTTTGAAATTTGGTAAATGTGCTTTGAGATGGACATGTAGGCTAAGACATGAGTCTTTAAAAAAAGATTTATTTATTTATTTGAAAGGCAGAGTGTTTTATATATAGAGAGAGAGGTCTTCCATCCTATGGTTCACTCCCCAAATGGCCACAATGGCCAGAGCTGGGCCAATCCGAAGCCAAGAGCCAGGAGATTCTTCTGGGTCTCCCAATGGGTGCAGGGGCCATCTTCCACTGATTTACCAGACCACAGCAGAGAGCTGGATTGGAAGTGGAGCAGCCAGGACTTAAACCAGCACCCATATGGGATGCCGGCACTGCAGGCACTGCAGGTGGCTTTACCCACTACGCCACAGCGCCGGCTCCAAGATGTGAGTCTTGTCTACAGGAACAGGGACTGGGGTCTTCCATTTCTCTGGGGCTCCCATTTGCCAGTGGCTGATCACAGGAGACCATCCCCATGTGAGAGACTGAGAGGGATCTAAGGCTAGCCTGGCAGTTGAATGGAAGTGCCGAAAGGGACCGGGTTTCTATTGCCTGGTTTAGGGCTTGGGATCAGTTTGCCGCTAGAGCCCCAGGGGAGACAGTAAATGTGTGAGCTTTCCCAGCATCAGCCCTGGGGGAGGGAAAAATGTGGAAGGCCTCCCGGGTGAGAACAGAGGAGTCAGGACTAACACCACAACCATGCCAATGCCTGCGACCGTATCGGCAGATTTTCTAAAAATGCGCAATTAGAGGCAGAGAGCCATGTGGGATCTGACTAGTTGTAGCTGTTATTAAACTCAGGTAAGTCAGTTTGGAGGAAATAAACATTTGAATATAGTCATATAATCGGTAATTTTGATTAGTGGCTGGTTACTAAACACTGACTCAGCCAAATTAAGTGCAGTGCATGGATTGGCGAATGGACTGAGATTAGTGTTCGTGCCCACTCCTCTCTCTGCCCCAAGAAGTCAGCTAATCTGTTCTCTGGAGATTCCAACTTTACCTCTGTGAAGTTCTATTTTTAGAAAACTAATTTGAAGATTATAGGAAACTTGTAAGAATAATACAGAGAATGCCTTACGCTCTTTACCCAGTTTTACCAATTTCTGACATTTTGTCACATTTTACCATATATATTATTTTATTCTCTTGCTCTCCCTCCCACATGTATATACACACATTATTTTTTCTGAAATATTTGAAATTATGTAATATTTATCTTGTCTTTTTAGCCCTTAATACATCAACCTGTATTTCTCAGAAGCAAGGATAGTCTTTATATAATCACAGTGAAGTAATAGAATTCAGGAAATACATCGTTATTATAGTACTTTTATCTAATCTTGTCTCAGTGCTCCAGGCCTTTATAGCATGTTTTTCTCTGGTGCAAATCCTAATCCAGAACCACATATTGCATTTAGTTAACATGTGTGTCCCTTTGGTATTCTTTAATCCAGGCTAAATCATTATTTAGCCTTTCCCATCATCTTTCATGATATTAACATTATTTGAGGGGAAGGCCAGTGATGTTCTGGAATGGTCCTCACTTTGGGTTAGACTGGATTCAGAGGATGTGTTCATGGCCAGAAAGCTACCTAAGGGCTGCCATGTCTCTCTCGGGGCCTCCCATCCAGAGACACAAGGTGTCCATCTGTCCCCACTGGTGATACTAACTCAGAGTCACCTGCGCGCTGAGTTCTGTTCTCCTCCTTGCATAAAGAAAGGCAGATAGAGGTTTTTTATTGAAAGATTTATTTATTTATTTGAAAGGCAGAGTTACACAGAGGCAGAGAGAGAAAAAGAGAGAAAGAGAGGTCTTCCATCCACTGGTCCACTCCCCAAATGGCTATAATGGACAGAGCTGAGCCAATCCAAAGCCAGGAGCCAGGAGTTTCTTTCAGGTCTCCCATGCCGGTGCAGGGACCCAAGGATGTGGGCCATCTTCTACTATTTCCTAGGCCATAGCAGAGAGCTGGATTGGAAGTGGAGCAGCTGGGACTCGAACCGGTGCCCAAATGGAATGCTGGTGCTTCAGGCCAGGGCTTTAACCTGCTGTGCCACAGTGTCGGCCCAAGGGCAGATAGAGTTTTGCAGAGCACAGGCCTGTCATTCGTTGGTGACTCCTTTTTTTTTTTTTTTTTTTTGACAGGCAGAGTGGACAATGAGAGAGAGAGACAGAAAGGTCTTCCTTTACCGTTGGTTCACCCTCCAATGGCCGCTGCGGCCAGCGCACCGTGCTGATCCGAAGCCGGGAGCCAGGTGCTTCTCCTGGTCTCCCATGGGGTGCAGGGCCCAAGCACCTGGGCCATCCTCCACTGCACTCCCGGGCCACGGCAGAGAGCTGGCCTGGAAGAGGGGCAACTGGGACAGAATCCGGTGCCCCCACCGGGACTAGAACCTGGTGTGCCGGTGCCGCAAGGTGGAGGATTAGCCTAGTGAGCTGCGGTGCCGGCCTCGTTGGTGACTCCTATTATGCTAACTGTTGTTCAAAACCTCCTAAACGTTTTTAGTGAAGGCAGCATTGGAGCACCTGGAAGTGAGTGGCCGCTGCTTGAGGGCAGGTCTACACTGGAGCAGGGCTGGGGTGGGGCCCCCCGACTGCTGCCACCTCGCTGGGAATTACAGTATTTTCACCCTCCTGGGGACCATGGCACTGATTTCCACATGGCCAGCTCTATTCCAGGGGTTGGCTCCTCTAGTCAAAGAAATGACTACATTGTACAGGACGGAAGGGACAAGCTGATAGTGTGGCTTACCCAGAAAGGGAAGGAGGAAGAGACCTGATTTTAAATCATGATTTTGAGGAACTGGGCCATCCTTCTTGATCAGTGAGCAAAAGCGCTTCACTTCAGGAAATTCACAGTAGTAGCTGCACCGTGCCAAAGGAACAAATCATGGTGGGTGCAAACAGGTGCAAAACTACACACTTCCTCCTCAGGTGTAACGGTGTCAGGTTTTCCTTCACTTCCATTCTGCCCCCTCTCCTCGGCCAGCCACATGACTGCAGTCACTTTGTTAATCTCTGTGCCTCACTCTCCCTGTCTTTGCAAATGGGATTTAAAACAACACCCGCTAACATAGCACTGTCGTGTCGCGTAAGCACCAGCAGGTACAGCGCTCTGTGAATCCGTCCCCTCCTGGGGGAGGAGGGGGCTCTTTTAACTTCACAGCAGTTGAAAACCTTTAACAGCAAGTCAAAGAGGCAGAAATCAGCACCGTGGACGAGGAAGCGACTGCTGAGACTAAAGGAAGAAGATGACGGATAGAGCGTGGATGACACTGCTGGGGCAGGCGGAGAGGAGGCCGAGGCTGCAGCCAAGCGAAAGCCAGCTTGGGGAGGTGGAATTGAAGCTGGACTTTGAATTATCAGAAGATAAAGCCAGAAGTGGAAAAAAAAAAAGTTAAATCCAATTACCAACCAGAGGAAACTAGTTTGGAGCAGATACTTTTATGCAACTTTTTTTTTTTAAACTTTATTTTCATTTTATTTGAAAGAGAGAGAGATAGAGACAGAGATCTCTCTGGTTCACTCCCTTAAGGCCTACAATGGCTGCAATGAGTCAGGCTGAAACCAGGAGCCCAGAATTCCATCTGGTCTCCCACACGGGGAGCAGGGAACCAAGTGCATGGGCCGTCCCTGCTGCCTCCCAAGACGTGCATCGGCAAGAAGCTGGAATCAAAAGCAGAGTAGCTGGGGCCCAAACCAGCAACGTGATATGGTATGTGGGTGTCCCAGGCAGCAACTTAACCACTGCACCAAATGCCCGCCCACTGGTGTCTGTCACCAAGCAAACTGACGTACGCTGTCTACTAGACTAATCTGCCAATCATCTGAGCACTGAGCATGGGCAAGGTTTTCACTGGGGGTCTCAACAGGAATGTGTTCTCTTTCCCCAGTTGAGTATAGGAGCACCCTCTGGCCAAGGCAGAGAGCTGGTGGATAACCAGGAAGAGGCCTGGAGTGGCCAGCCTCCAGCAGGAGACAGACGAAGGGAAGCAGTTCACTCTGCTTGTTCGTTTGTCTGAGTCCAGGCCCTGAAACAGTCCCAGGGAAGGTTCCAGAGCCAGGAGACACAGCTTCACCTGAGGCTCTGAGGACAGAGAGAAACTGCAGTGTAAGAGAAGCCGAAAACCAGAGCTGAGCTGAGTTAGACGGAGTTCCTTCCTTAGACAGAGTTCCTTCCTTAGATGGAGAAGGAGCACACGGAGAGCTCGGCCCCACCTCCTCAGGGTCCTGCAGCTCCCCAGGGTGCAGCTGGCGGGGAGCCGGCGCTGATGGACAGCGAGAACCCACTCTCACTTCCAGAGGGGAACAAAGACTCCAAAAGAGTCCAAAGAGAATTTAGAATCCTTTTTAAAGGGAAGATAAATTTCAACTTGGATAAAGACAGAACTGTGAATCTTAACCAGGATTTACTTTCTTTATGGCAATAACCTTTTATTACTGTAAATAGAATTATACCTAAGTTATTACAATATCATATACTCAATATATATGCTCTGTGAGCATAACTTAAAAACAAGGAAACTTCTTGCTTCTTTTCCCTTTTTCCTCTTGGTGTTGTATATTTTAGGGAAGCCATAGGTTGTATTGAGCCTAGTCGCCTTTCATTTCTCCAGTATTAGCTGGAAAGTGGGTTTGGATGGCGTTCCTGTTTCTTTTTTGCTTTCATCGTCTTAAGAGCATGTACAAAGAAGAAACCGAATTGATGGGACTAAAAAGAAGTCCTCGTAACACACTCCCAAGTCCAGGTGCAGAGATGCAGGTGCAGGGATTTGTATTTTTCCTGTAAAAGAAAGTGGTTTAGGTTTTGTGTGCCACACAATCTCTGTCACAACTTCTCAGCTTGGGGCAAACTGTCACAGAAAATGACCCACTGAGGCCAATGTCACAGGCAATAAGAATAATTCATTAGAGCAATAGAATACAGAGAGAAATGAGCTGTGTTAGATTTTACTAAAATACACTGCAAGGCCCGCGTTGTGATGTAACGCCGGCATCCCATACAGGTGCCGGTTCAGGTCCCAGCTGCTCCACTTCCAATCTAACTTCCTACTAATGTACCTGGGAAAGCAGTAGAAGATGGCCCAAGTGCTTCGACCCCTGCACCCATGTGAGAGACCTGGAAGAAACTCCTGGGTCCTGGCTTTGGCCTGTCCCAGCCCCAGCCCATGGGGGCCATCTGGGGAGTGAGCCAGCAGGTGGAAGAGCGCGCTCTCTCTCTCTCTCTCTCTCTGTTTCTCTCCTCCATCTCTGTAACTCAGCCTTTCAAATTAATAAAATAAATCTTAAGAAACAAAACAAACAAAAAACACTGCAAGGTAGCAACAGGCGAGCAGGCCAGCTGTTAGCTGACAGCTGCGGCAATGCGGATTGAATCCGGGAGAAATGCCCAAGGCAGATTGCCACTGGCTTTCCGTCACTAGTGATCTCCTCTTTACTAGGGACTTCTGCCGGGGGGCAGGTGACCTCAACACAAACAACTGAAAACTGACAGCAGGTTTAATGGTGGATGCTGCTAAGTCCCAAAGGCCAGGAGTGGGAGGAGGGTCATGCCGGCCAGCGTGGGCCGCCCAGGTCCTTACCTCTGAGCAGTGGGAGAGAGTAGCATGTGAGGATTCTGTTCGTTCTCATCTAGGAGTGGTTTTGCTCACTGTTCTCCTAATAGAAATTCTTTCTAAAAAGTAGTGCTGTTTTCTCTGATTAAAAGGATTTATAGGGGCCAGCACTGTGGCACAGTGGGTTAAAGCGCTGGCCTGAAGCGCCAGCATCCCATATGGGTGCCGGTTCAAGACCCGGCTGCTCCACTTCCAATCCAGCTCTCTGCTATGGCTTGGGAAAGCAGTGGAAGATGGCCCTAGTCCTTGGGCCCCTGCACTCAAGTGGGAGACCTGGAAGAAGCTCCTGGCTCCTGGCTTTGGATCGGCGCAGCTCCAGCCATTGCGGCCAACTGGGGAGTGAACCATCGGATGGAAGACCGACCTCTCTCTCTCTCTCTCTCTCTCTCTGCCTCTCCTCTCTGTGTAACTCTGACTTTCAAATTAATAAATAAATCTTTTTTAAAAAAGGATTTATAAAGAAAGTTTATGGTAGCTATGTGAAAAAAGTATATATATATATATATCTCCCCAGATGGCCGCAATGGGCCAGAGCTGGGCCAATCCAAAGCCAGGAGTCGGGAGCTTCTGCCAGGTCTCCCATGCGGGTGCGGGGGTCCAAGGACTTGGGCCATCTTCTGCTGCTTTCCCAGGCCATAGCAGAGAGCTGGATCGGAAGTGGACCCAGCACTGCAGGTGGCAGCTTTACCCACTACGGCCACAGTGCTGGCCCCAAGTATATAATTTCAAAAACCAAGTGAAACATTTTAGTTCAGTAAGAAAACATGCAATGCAAAGCTATTGTCTGTGTGTGCCTTTAGAGAAGGGGTTTTTATTTCTTTGGCCTGTTAAAGCCAGCAACATGAATCCACATGAAAATCAACAGCTATTTGTTTGCCACATGGAAGGATGTGGAACTGTACCAAGGCTAGGATGTGGGCGAGGGTGGGGGTACTGGGCACGAGTGCATATTTCTGTCTCTGAGTGGGAGCCCGTGAGCAGCTTTACTGCCAAGGGAAGTGTCCAATGTCAACATTTACCCTCAATTAGAATTAGAATTTAGAATCCCATTTAATGAGAAATTAAATTTCAACTCAAATAAATGACAAAAATGTGAATCTTAACATAAGCATTTTCTTTCCCTGTTATAATAATTAAGTGAGGGATCTTCAAAGAAATATGTGGAAAAATATCATTAAAAGATGTCTCTTTTGAAGCAAAACATTTTGAAATCCATGCATAGTTTTTGTATAGTACATATGTTCCATGAATGTTTTGAATACCCATTGCATGCACGGATTTTAAATTCTTTGGCACCAAAATGAGCTTATCTTTTAATTCATTTTCTATAAGCTTTTTATATCATTATAAGATATAATCAAACAGTGCACACGCACACATGCACACACACACAGACTTTCTGTGGCACAGCGGGTTAAAGCCCTGGCCTGAAGCGCCAGCATCCCATATGGGTGCCAGTTCAAGACCCGGCACACATACATACTTTCTGAGTAAAAGGCAAACATCTTTCTGTTTTCTTTTTCCCTGTACATTTAGGGCATCAGTGGTGTGTGTGCAACCTAGTCACCCTCTCACTTTGGATGGACTTCACATTTCCTTTTGACTTCCACAATTTAACAACACCTGTTTTCTGTCTTTATAGGACAAAATGAGAGTAGATAAGTGACCAGGAGATCGGGGGTAGGAGGCGTCCGGGAAGAGGATCTTCATCTCTAGGAGTGGTGACCTGCAGGGTGCACACGCTCCCTCGTGCTCTCTTGGTTCCCACCTCAGACTAGAGCATCGTGCTTCTCCATTCTGTGCGGTTCAGCCCAGTAGGCTTTGGACTGTTTCCAACATTGCCCACTGGAAATCAAATAGACAAACTGAATTAAACAGGCAAAGTGTTAAAATGAGCACAGCCCAGAGAGGGGGCAAGCCTGAGGAAATAAGTATATTCTTATCTTCAGAGCTTTTTTTTTTTTTTTATTCCTTCTAGGGGTTGTGAAGAAGTGTTTGAACCGGACCCATGCATTGGTGGGCTTCAGGTATGGAGACACCAAGGTTGTGCCCACCTCATTCATCACGCCTGTCGGGGGTGCCATGCCCTGCCCTCTGCTCCAGGTACCTGCTCTACATCTACTCAGGGTCCTTTTCCACCATCCCCAGGGCTTTGGGTAATGGGAGGGCAAGACCACAGTTTGGTCCAAGTGGGCTCCTGTAGGGAGCTTGTATCAGACACCCCTTCACTTGGCAATTTCTTCACTCATGATCCATAACTCTGACCTGCCAATTCCCCTGGGTGCTAACATCTGCACCCATGTGCATACCTTGCACCCTGTGGCACTTAGCACTTTGCAAGAAAGACAGTAGATGATTTGGGGAAGGGAGTTGCTCTGACTGCTAGTGCTCTTGACATTTTAGCTGTAAAACATTATAGTATATAATATATAATATATAATAGCAGGAGCAGAGTGGCACTTTTCTTGGCATCATAATCATTGGATGTCAGACCATGGAGCTGCGTCACCACAGTTATCCCATGCATTCCACAGATGACCTGGACTAAAGTGTTTTCTTCGACTCATAAATTCGTAAAAACTCTGCCATATCTGGCCTCTACCCTGGGTGCTATTGCAGTTCCAGGGAGTGGAAGGAGAGACCTGCAGATCTTCACTAGCGCTGGTTCTTGCATGGTGTGGGCAAGAGGAGGAGCCCCCGAAAGGAATGCAAGGAGTTAGCCTTGGTCCTCTTTCTGCTGCCCCAGCCAGAGCCCGGGCACACATCAGTGCCCTTGTCAAGTGCCCAGCTGCCTCTGTATGCCCCTTCACGAGATTCTTCTACTGCGGGTCATCCCTTTGCTATTGCCACTCATGGGTTCCAAGGTGTGTGCTTTGAAACACCAGGAAACCAACCTGCTCCTTTCCTTTGCCCGGGTGACAGCTGTTCTGATATAGGAGGGCACAGTTCATACTGCTTTGTGTCAAACTCCCCACTTCCTTCCACCCTTCTCTGTAGGGTCAGATTTTCAGAACTCTCAGCATCTTGCCGGCTGTCCCCTGCACCCCAGTCAGTAGCCAAAGTCTTTCCTCAAACTGATCACAGAATTCCAGGCGAGGCCCAGTGAGCCTATGGAACGTTGGATCTCTTTTACTTTTTTAAATATTTATTTATTGTTTATTTGAAAGGCAGAGAGAGAGAGAAAATCTTCCATTCACTAGTCCAGTCCCCAGCAGCTGGGGCTGGGCCAGACCAAAGCCAGTAGCCAAGGACTCCATCCAGATCTCCCATATGTGTGGCAGGGACACAGTGTCACAAGCAACAGCTTAATCCACTGCCCCACAATGCCTGCCGTTGTAACTCTTTTTTTTTTCTTTTGAGATTTATTTATTTATTTATTTATTTGAAAGGCAGGGTGACATAGAGAGAGAGGGAGAGACAGAGAGATCTTCCATCTGTTGGTTCATTTTCCAAACCACCACAATAAGCTTGGAGCCCAGGTCTCCTTATGTGAATGCAGGGGCCCAAGCACGTGGGCCACCATCTGCTGCTTTTCCAGGCACATCAGCAGGGAGCTGGATTGGAAGTGGAGCAGCTGGGACTTGAACCAGAGCTCCAGTATGGGATGCTGGCATTCCAAGTGGCTGTTTGACCCACTGCACCACCACCTCATGCTGCAGTCAAGAATGTATTGGATATTTTGAGTGGGCATTTGGCGTGGTTGTTAAGATGTTATTTGGGATGTCCACATCCCATTGGGAGTGCCTGATTTTAGTCCTGCCCCTACTCCTGATTCCAGCTTCCTGGGACGCCCCGCCCCTGGAACTCTTTATTAACAGAAAAATGTGTGTGTGAAGTTTAACATCAGTACTTGCCAATCATCTTTGGGTGTTCTGAAACAAGCTTATATTAACATTGTCTATAAAATCTATACGTTCTCCCCCGCAGGTCGGAGATTATGTGTTTGCCAAAATTGTGATACCCAAAGGATTTGACTTCTACGTCCCTGCCATTGTCATAGCACTTCCAAATCCAGATGTGGCCTCAGAAAAGCTCTACACAGTTTTAAAGTGTAACAACCGGAGAGTGAGTAGACTTCCGCTTGGAAAAGGACTTTCCTGCCAGGGAGAAAGTGGCTGGGTCTTGAGTGTTGCCTTCCCCTTGGCAGGCACTGCTAGGTATCTTGTAAGAATGATTTCCCCGGCCATGTCTGGTTGCCCCCTGTGTTTTGATTCTGTTTTCTCTGCAGTGCAGACCCTACCCCCACTGAGATTGCCGTGACCCCCTAAGCCCTGTACTGGGCGGCCTTCGTGGCTCCTGTGGCCAGCTCTGGTTGCTTCTGACAGCGGGACACTCTCTGAACCCTGTGTCCCTCCTCCTCAGACTGCTCCTGCTTTGTGCTCAACTGCAGGCCCTGCAGCTGTGGGGGTCTCCAGGCCCCCTCCCAACCCGGTCCTCCTCTGCCTCCTCATGGTCTGTCTCCCCGGGGAGCCTCCATCTCTGGACGATTGATTCTCGGTGCCACCCCGGGTGGAGCTCCAAGCCTGCATTTCTGACTCCTCCTAGAGTGCTCCCTCCAGCTCAGCCACAGGGTCGGAGTCTGTGATAGCCCCTCCTCCCCCATGCCTCCTCTTGTGTTCCCTCTACTGGGGATGCCCCCAGCAGGTTCTCCAACTCATGCCTGCTTAGGGAACACCTCCAATGGCTGGAGGCGGTGGGGAATTGGGAGCGACAGAAACATGAGTGGAGCACAGTGGAAAGAATGGGGGCTTCACACTGAAGGAGATCTGTATCTGGATTCCTTCATTGTTCACTCTGCCCTTTTTACTGGGCAGGCTGCTTCACTTCTCTGAGCCTCAGTTTCATCACATATGAAATGGGTATTTTTTATATCACACCCTCCATCTATCTTGCTAGGTAACCGGGCGGATTAAAGAAAATACAAGGGTGTTTCACAAAGTTTGCGGGGAAATAGGAATTAAAAATGATTTTGCTATAAAATTTTTAAATCCATGCATAGTTTTTCATTAAAAAATCTGAAGCCGAACAGCCGGCGCCGTGGCTCAATAGGCTAATCCTCCGCCTTGCGGCGCCGGCACACCGGGTTCTAGTCCCGGTCGGGGCGCCGGATTCTGTCCCGGTTGCCCCTCTTCCAGGCCAGCTCTCTGCTATGGCCAGGGAGTGCAGTGGAGGATGGCCCAGGTGCTTGGGCCCTGCACCCCATGGGAGACCAGGAAAAGCACCTGGCTCCTGGCTCCTGCCATCGGATCAGCGCGGTGCGCCGGCCGCAGCACGCCAGCCGCGGCGGCCATTGGAGGGTGAACCAACGGCAAAGGAAGACCTTTCTCTCTGTCTCTCTCTCTCACTGTCCATTCTGCCTGTCAAAAAATAAAAAAAATTTTAAAAAAATGCTATAACGAGTACTCAAACAATATATTTCACTTTGTGTTTCTATGGGGATGCAAACTGTTGAAATCCTTACTTAATGCATACTAAACTGATCCTCTGTAAAAAAAAAATAAAATAAAAAAAAAAGAAATTATCAATTCCCAACTTGACTCTCACTGGGATTAAACATGACAATAGGTCTGATCTGATTTCATCATCATTTAAAAAAAATCATCTATTATTTTTCACTTTATGTTTCTGTGTGGGAGCAAACTGTTGAAATCCATACTTAATGTATACTAAGCTGATCTTCTGTATATTAAGATAATCGAAAATGAATCTTGATGTGAATGGAAGGGGAGAGGGAGTGGGAAAGGGGAGGGTTGTGGGTGGGAGGGACGGTATGTGGGGGAAGCCATTGTAATCCATAAGTCGTACTTTGGAAATTTATATTCATTAAATAAAAGTCAAAAAAAAAAATCTGAAGCCCATGGGCAGCATTTTCCATGCACTTTTTGAAAACTCTGTGTGTACATGAGAGAGCTGTACATCTGATGGGGGGTGAGATAACAGCAGTGATGACGTCACTGCGGTAGATTCAGCCCCGAATCTTCCTCCTTCACCACTCCCCGTGGCCAATGATGAACTCTGTCACCTCAAAACTGATTTGTTCATTGGATAGATGTTTGTCAAGAGCCTATGTTTTCTATTGGACCACTGTCTTTTTTTTTTTTTTTTTTTTTTTTTTTTTTTTTTGGACAGGCAGAGTGGACAGTGAGAGAGAGAGACAGAGAGAAAGGTCTTCCTTTTGCCGTTGGTTCACCCTCCAATGGCCGCCACGGCCGGCGCGCTGCGGCCGGCGCACCGCGCTGATCCGATGGCAGGAGCCAGGAGCCAGGTGCTTTTCCTGGTCTCCCATGGGGTGCAGGGCCCAAGCACCTGGGCCATCCTCCTCTGCACTCCCTGGCCACAGCAGAGAGCTGGCCTGGAAGAGGGGCAACCGGGACAGAATCCGGCGCCCCGACCGGGACTAGAACCCGGTGTGCCGGCGCCGCAAGGCGGAGGATTAGCCTAGTGAGCCGCGGCGCCGGCCTGGACCACTGTCTTTTTATTCACTGGGGAAGGTCCTGTGTGCCTCCTGAATGGTAATTCTTGGTAATATATAGTCAGTATTTTTTTTTTTTGATTTTTTGACAGGCAGAGTGGACAGTGTGAGAAAGAGACAGAGAGAAAGGTCTTCCTTTGCCTTTGGTTCACCCTCCAATGGCCGCTGTGGCCAGCGCACTGCGGCCAGCGCACCGTGCTGATCCGAAGCCAGGAGCCAGGTGCTTCCTCCTGGTCTCCCATGCAGGTGCAGGGCCCAAGCACTTGGGCCATCCTCCACTGCACTCCCTGGCCACAGCAGAGAGCTGGCCTGGAAGAGGGGCAACCGGGACAGAATCCGGCGCCCCGACCGGAACTAGAACCCGGTGTGCCGGCGCTGCAAGGTGGAGGATTAGCCTACTGAGCCACGGTGCCGGCTATATTCAGTATTTTTTTAAAAACATTTATTTATTTGAAAGAGAGAGAGAGAGAGAGAGAGAGAGAGAGAGAGCTTTCCCATCTGCTGGTTCATTCCCAAATGGCCACAATGGCCAGACCTGAGCCAGGCCAAAGCCAGGGCCTGTGTCTCATATGGGTCTCCCATGTGGGTGCTAGAGCCCAAGTATTTGGGCCATATTCTGCTGCTATCCCAGGAACACTAATAGGAAGCTGGATCAGAAGCAGAGCAGCCAGGACCCCAAGTGATGCTAATGCAGGATGCTGGTGTCGCAGGTGGCAGCTTAAACTGCTGCACACAATACTGGCCATGCCAGTATTCTTTTCCTGGTCTGTTGCCAGTCTTTTAATTTAGAATCTTTATTGGCAGAGAATTTTAAAATGGCAAAATTTATAGATCTTCTCCCTTATGAATTGCCCTCTGTGGTATTTGGCTTAAGAAATCCTTCATTTCATATTTCTCTAGAAATTTCTTCTGAAAGTTTTAGAAAAAAATCTTCAGTTTACAGATCTGATGATGTCATTTGTTTGATGTGCCCCCCTACCAACATACATACACACACACACACACACACACACACACTTCCTGCTACCCTCAAGGAGAATCCCAGCATGGCTGCAGCGTGGCCCCAACATGGTCCTAGCCTGATCCATGAACTTGACTCCCAGCCAAGTGAAAATCCCATTGCACAGTGGACTTTCCAAGCCCCGGGGATTTCCCTCTTTCTGGACTAACCTCTCCATCTCCTTTCCATAGGAAACTCCTGTCACCCTATAGACTCTCCCTGAGTGTGGCTCGCTGCTGAGCCCTAGTGGGTTCTCCTGCATACTCTAATGCTCTCTTCCCACATTGACCACAACTCCTCTTCCCACACCAGTGGCAGCTCTTCTTTCCCACCCAATGTCAAGTCTCTTCCTCACCAATCTCAACCTTTAAGGGCACGAGAACCCTGTCTTAGTCATCTTTGCCTCTCCCTCCCACCCCAGCACAGCTGCTGATGAAGAGAAAGTTTTCATAATTTTTGAAAATTATTGAATGGATGACATTTCTAATGGAAACTGACTCTGGTTGGACCACTTAAAATGCCTGGTAAACATCCCGGCAAGTAGAATAGGTTGGTAAGCAGAAAGCGAAAGAACAGTGGTTTTAAAGCCCTTACTCTGGGCTGCAGGTGCAAGCCCAAGCACTTTGCAGGGGGTGAAACTGAATCTGCAGGATACTGTGAGAAAGGGACTGCTGTCCCCATTTTCAGATAAGGAAATTGAGGCAGATAGGTCACATCATGCACCTGCAAGCCGTTAAGCAGGCATTGGAAATCAGGCAACCTGGCTCCCTGGCCTGCATTCTAAATCACTGTGCCAACTGCTGATCTAAAGAAATAAAATACCTAGTACAATTTTTTATTATTATTTATTTGAAAGTTAGAGAGACAGAGGTAGAGAGAGGGAAGGAAACAGATTTCCTGTCCACTAGTTCCTATAGTAGCTGGGACGGGGCCAGGCTGAAGCCAAGAACTAGGAACTCAGTTCAGTTCTCCCATGTGGGTGGCAGGAATCTAACTACTTGAGCCATCATCTGGGGCATCCCAGGAAGCTGGATTCAGGAGCAGGGCCAGAACTAAAACCAAGGCACTCCACAATGGGGTGTGGACATCCCAAATAACATCTTAACCATTGCGCCAATGTCCACCCAAAATATCCAATACATTCTTGACTGTAGCATGAGGTGTTTCCATCAGGGACAGGGCCATGAGAGATGAATTTGAGGGCTAAGGAAAAGAATGAGGATCATGAGATGCTGGGGCCACAGCAGCAGCATATCCCATCTGACAGAACAAGAGGAGAAGGGGGCATCTCCCCATCAACCCAGGAAAAATCCATTAAAGAAATAGGAGCTTCGGGGCCGGTGCTGTGGTGCAGCGAGTTAACGCCCTGGCCTGCAGTGCCGGTATCCCATATGGGTGCCAGTTCTAGTCTCGGCTGCTCCTCTTCCAATCCAGCTCTCTGCTATGGCCTGGGAAAGCAGTAGAAGATGGACCAAGTGCTTGGGCCCCTACACCCGTGTGGGAGACCCAGAAGAAGCTCCTGGCTCCTGGCATTGGATTGGCACAGCTCCAGCCATTGCGGCCAATTGGGGAGTTAACCAGCAGATGGAAAACCTCTCTCTCTTTCTCCCTCTCTGTCTCTCTCTCTCCCCCCTCCTCCCTCCCTGTGTGTGTGTAACTCTGACTTTCAAATAAATAAATAAGTCTTTAAAAAGAAAAAAAAAGAAATAGGAGCTTCCTGGAGCTGTCTGGGTATATGCAAAGAAGCATTCTAGAAGAACAGAATGTGGGGGAGTATTGCTGGCAGTCGGCACTGCTATGAGATATGTACTATGCCAGGGAGAAGCAAACCAAGGGACATTTGAAGAGATGTCCTCACGTAAGCCTCAGAATGCAGGCAGCGACGAGACAACTGGCCCAAGATTCCCAAGGAAAATCCCCAGAGACAGAGAAGGATCTTGGAATTGACACACGGGGCAGAGGATGAGGGGCTGGAGGCAGAGCGGCATGGCCAGGGGGATGGGGACACTGGAAACAGTTCTTGGAGACCCCATGAGGCTGAAGGTAGGATAGTTAGCAAAAGGGTGATGGTTACAGGTCTTAAGGCAAGGGATAGCTGAAATAGAAAGGAAGGTGACCCTGGGAAGGGCCATGTGTGCATTTTAGGTGGACAAGCTTGGCAGTCAACTCCGAATATGGAGAAATGACAGGCCTCGGTAATGACTTTTATTCAGCAAGTAATTACCAAGCGAGGCTCTAAATTTAAACTGCTCTCTCAGGTGTCACCCTGAATGGGATAATGACCAGGCGCTGTTACAATGAGTTGAGCTAGAATAATATTGTCTTTGAATGGTGGACATTTCTGATTTAAACTGAGAGAACTCTTTTGGCATTACAGGAATTTTGCCCTCGGAGTGCACTTATTAAGATCAGCCAAAACAAGTACGCTCTCTCTTGCTCTCATATAAAGTCGCCTCTGATCCAGGAGGATCCACATGTGTGAGTATACCTAACTGTGTTCTCAAATAATAATTTATGTCTTTGAACCTGAAAGCATCTGTTTCTGGGTTGAGATTCAAGACGTTTAAATTCTAGGGGCGAAAAGCAGAGGTGGACAACTTCCTACTTAAAATGTAGTTCTATGATTATTATCCCTTCAAGGTCACACATTAATCTGCTATTCATTCTTCTTCTGGTTCTGATCTAACATCTAACATTATTTTCCAGACTTCAAATAAGCATTCAGTCCTGAGTTGAATGTGCAGGAATTGGGCAAGGCCTTCTACTAGGGATTCAGGAGTAGATGCTTGGCCCTAATGGTTAAGACACTGCGGCCCACAACAGAGTGCCTAGGTTCAAAACCTGGCTCCTGCTTCTGACTCCAGCTTCCTGCTAATGCAGACCCTGGAAGGTAGCAGGCAGGGAATGGCTCAAATACTTGGGTCTCTACCCATGGGGGAGGCCTAGATTTGGTTCCCAACTCCCAGCCAGCCATGAGTCCAGCCCTAGCTGTTGTGGGCATTTAGGGGCTGAGCCAATAGATTGGGGAGTTCTCTCTATCTCCCCTTCTCCCTCTCTCCTTCTCTCTTAGCCTGTCAAATTAAAAAAAAAAAAAGCAGTGATTTTGGGGCCAGAGCTGTGGCATAGTAAGGTAAGCCACTGCCTGCAGTGCTAGCTAGCATCCCATATGGGCACTGGTCGTGTCCTGGCTGCTCCACTTCCAAAAAATCCAGTATTTTTTTAAATAACTAAGGATTCAGGTCCCTCTAATTGAATTGCATTTGGGAGCAAGAACCTATCTGCCTCCCCCTTCTTGGGAGTGGGAAGAAAGGTGCTATCCCTGGCTTGTCTGTGCTCAGGTAAGTGAATGGGTGGTTACATCCGGGGTCTGTAGTGAGGTGAATGAATTTTCCTCTGAGGCAGTAGGATTGCTAAGAGATGTGAATGTGAATTAAAGCCAAGTCATAGAAAAGAGCTGAGGCGTAAGGAGTGTGCGGAAACCCAAGTCCACCAGGGGCATCAGAGTTGCAGTCATACAGCCATGACCTTGGAGTCAAGGGTCTACAAAAAGAGGTGAGGATGGATTTTTGAGCAAGGGTTGGGAAAATGGGCCCAGGGAACACCCTCCAGTTTCACCTGGAAGTTGAGGGTTGTCTTTGGGAGCCAACCTTCTGTTAACTGAAAATGAGAATCTAGCTGAGAAATCAGAGCGAAAGTTGATCCAGCCAGTCTAACTGAGCATGTGAACGCAGAAACAGCCCATCAGTTGTCTGTGCTGACTGTTCCACAGTCTGAGCTTGGCTACAGGTTTTGTACTGCCTTACGGAGTAGGTACAGGCATTGAGTCAGGTTTACACAATACAGGTTTGTGTGTGGTTAGCAATCGCATTGAAAACCGAAAAATACCTCGTTGAAAATCAAAGAACACTAACAGATTTGATTACTGATGAAGGAGGTACTCCTGCATTCATCCCTAAAAGGGGATGCACTATTAGTGCAGGGCCCACTCGGGACCTTCCCCATGACTGAACCAATGAGCTCTGCCCACACCGACAGTGCTCGCTCTCACGGTTGTGTTTAACACTTCCAGCCACTCCCTCCTTCCCTAACCTGCTCCTCTTGAGTTGTGCCATGGGCTTTCTCCCTGCCCAATTCTGCACACACTCTTTGCTTCCATGACTCTGCACAAAAGACCCAGACTATTCTGTGCTGTTACATCAACATCATGCACGCTGCAGGAAGGGGGGCTGCAATAGGTTTTGGAGAGCTCCTAAGGTGGCCGTGGTGGAGAGGACCCTGTGAAACTCAGGCATGGCTTCATAGGCAGCCCACCTCAGTTGTATGTCCCTAGGGAGGTTCCTTATCATCTCTGAGTTCAAGATTAGAGTAGTGTGAGGGTTGAGAGTGATCATTGCTGTGCCTGGCATAGGCAGGTGTTTCACACACGTGGCTGGGATTATATTTTCAACAGCTCACTGGATATTTCCACCCGAGTCTTCAAAATCTCAAATTTAGCACATCCAGAACTGAAATCAAAGCTTCCCACAAACCTGTTCCCATCTCAGACTTCCCCTTCCCCCGACCAGTCACAGAGTCGTCCAAGCAGAAATCTGCCATAATTTTCACTTCTTGCCCTCCACCCACCATCACACCCCACTGGTCTCCAAGTTAGGTGGACCTCAGCTTGCAAATGTTTCTCAGCTCTGTCCTACCCTGCTGTTCAAGGTCAGGAGCTCTCAGTTCCCCCAGCCATGTCCCACTGGAATCCTAGGCACTCCCTATAACCTGCCTCACATGCAAATCTGCTCTTGCCCATCCTTCTCTTTAAAAATCCAAGGTGAATGTTTGGCCTAGTGGAGAAGATGTGGGTTAAGATACCTGTGTCCCTCGTCCTACATCAGAATGTCTGGGTTTCATTCCTGCTCCAGTTGCTGACTCCATCTTCCTGCCATTGTGCACCCTGGGAGGCAGCAGGGATGGCTCAGGTAGTTTCATGCCAGCTTGCACTGCAGTCATAGCTCTTGGCTGCAGCCCAGCCCAGTCCTGGCCACTGTGGACATTTGGGGAGTGAACCAGTGGATGGAAGTGCTCACTTGCTCTCTCTTTCTCTCTGCCTCTCAAATAAGTCAATCCTTCAGATCCACCCCTATCTCCTTTCTTATCAGCCTCTTGGTGGTTGACCCAGTCCTGCCTTCCTATCCTTGCTTGTCCCTAATACCCAGTGCCCTCTGCACGCTAATCACATTAAAATATTTGTAAGCTTTCCCCACCCAGTACTATACTTTTCACTATGCAAAGACTAAGTATTCCCTCCCTGGAATGCCATCCCTTGCCATTGCCACCTGGGGAACTTCAAGATACAAGTCAAGTTTTTCCCCACTATGCCATGTCCCAGCACCCAACATTCCCACATAGTGGGGTGATCCCTGTGCATCCTGTAGAGGTTTCATCAAAGGAAATTTCACTGCACTGGACTTTGGTCTTGGTCCATTTTCAGATGCTATAACAAAGTATGTGAAGCTGAGTACTTTACAAAGATGTTCATTTATCTCACAGTTTTGGAGACTGAAAGTTCAAGGTCAGGTGACCCCATGAGTTCAGCCTCTGGTGAGGGCCCTCTTGGTCACACAACATAAGTAGATGGCATCTTTCAGGAGTAGGTGTGACAGGGAGAAACCACAGGAAGCCAGAGGATGGGGAAAAGTCTTGCACTTTTTATAACAACTCCCTCTCAGCAGAGTTCACTCCACAAGGCCAGCACTGATGGTCCCCTCGGAGGGTGGTGCTCCCAGTGACCTCATCACCTAGCACTGGGCCTCTCCTCTTCAAGGTTCCAGCACTTCTCAAATCACCACACTGAGGACCAAAACTCCAGTACATGAATCTGTAGGGGCCAAACCATATCCATGGTATAGTTGACCATGGAGGCACAAGTCCTTGAAGATAGGGGTCAAGTTCTGTCTACCCCTGAATCCCGGTTGCCAGATTCAGCTCACAGGATGGGTTCAATCAATACTGAAGAACAAATGAATGAAGAAATAAATGGGAGTGCACGCCCAGTGGTGCTCCTTGAGGGGCATGCTGCTCCACAGAGAGTCTTCGTTTAGGTGTAGCTAGAAAACATATGCTACAATCCTCTCTTGATGAATATGATATTTCACTGAATATCATAGCACATTTTGTCCATCTCAAAATTCTGCTCGAACAACATGATATCCAAATTATAGTACATAACAGAATATGAATGGACATGTCAAGATACTGCCCATTTTCACTAAACTCAACTCTATCAATCATCCTTTTAGAATTAAAATTCAGTTCTTTCTACATTGATAAAATCCTTTTGTGGCTTATCATCTTCCCCTGGCCTTTCTGAAAGCTCTTAGGTACTAATTATCTCTCTCACTTCTAGGGCTTCACAGAGCGAACATATCCACTCACTCCCTAGTCTCCTCCTTGTAATTTCCACTGGCTTTTGCTCTAGCTGCCCTCTCTGGGAGCAAGAAACTGAGTTTAATTCTCCTAAGCAGAGGTCACGTTCAACCCAGTGCCTTCAGAGCTTAATCTGTCTCTGTTTCTGAGCTGAGCACAGAGATAAAGGTATGGGTCTTATATTGTATCTATGTTGAGAGCTCCCTCTGGCAGGTCCTTTAATCCGGAGCTCGCTCTTCTTGCTCTATAAATAGTCCATCTCCCTTTGGTTGCTCTTTAGTAAGTCTTCATGCCACTATAGCAGATGAGACTATTTTTTTTAAACCTACTGCTTTTCATGGGCTATTAAAGAAATGTACCAAAGATGGCATCTCCAACAGGATATAATTTGACTAAATTGAATTGTAAAATCTTGAATCCACTATAACCATCCATTTGGGGTGGTCAGACAAGGAGTACCTGACCTCAGACAGTTGGGTGAACCAAGATACTCAGCATCCATCTCTCTATCCTCTGCCTCTCCTGTCTTTCTTTCTCCCAGGGAGCCTTCAGCTGTGGGTAACTGAATGTATTTCCTGCAGGTCCAGCCTCTGGTTTGTAACTGAGGATGGTGCACAGTGAAAAATGGGAAGAAAAGTATTATGTTGGGGGTAGGAAGAAGGCAGGTCCAACATTGATTTGATGTGGCAAAGATGATGTAGATTTTCATTTTCAACTCAAGATTTATCCCTAAATGATTCTTGAAGACCATGCAACCTACATTATCCATATTGCTCAATCCCAAAGGCCTAAGTCTTCAAGGAGAGCATTTTGGCATCCCCGTGTGTGCAGTTAGACATGGATGAGGCTGTGCCAATTTCCTCTTTGCTCGGCAGTGTGACCACTGCATTCGCTGACACACCACATCTGGGTGGTGGGTCTTCTGAGAGTGGGTCTCTGCAGAAGGAAATGATTGTTCTTCTTCCCCTCCTCCCCTTCCCTTGAGTAGACCCTGAGCTTTCTTCTACATTCCATGACACCAGAGAGATCTTGTCCAAGTGGAAATACTCCCTTACCTCTCTATAACTTTCGCCATGTAGAGAACACACACGTAGTTTCCCAGTGTAGCCTCAATAACTCCAAGAAGCGAGTGGAACGGGAGCAACTTCCCCCATTTTGCATCCTGTCTTCACTGGGGAAGGTGACTCACAGACCAAGCTCATTCTCGCTGCCTTTTCTGGGGTCCTGTTCACACTGGAGACCTGTGGCCCCTCTCTGCTGCAGAAGAGGGCAGAGGTGGGTTTGATGCTCTGGCTCTTGGTTTTCTTCAGTGAAGGGAAGCGCCTCTGCCAGTATCCCTCAACTATCTACAGGCTAGGGGCTCTGGCAGACATACCTGCCAGAGATGTAACTGACCATGTGACTGGCCAGAAATCCCTCCAACAGAGCTAAAATGCTTCCTCCTATCAGTCCTGGCAGAGCCAGGCTTGGGCAAATTACTTCCATCTTCCTTAAGAAGATGCTCCCTAGAGTAAGTGTGATTTCTTTTTGAAAAGGGATCGCATTTCAAATGTGACCTCAGGAAAGACGAATAGCACTAATAATTTTCTCTGTGCTCCAGAAAATTCTCAGGGTACCTGAAGGAAGTTACTGAATACTGAGATCCTGCAGGCAAGTAACACTCTTCCCTTGCTGTCTGATTGTCCTTATGTGATCTTGGGGACGTGGCCATGTTTGAGTCTGCAGTGGGGAGACCCTGCCAGGGCTCATCTGTGCCTTTTCTGTGTATACGGTCAGTTCTCCAATTCCTGTTCCACAGACTGCTGCCTTTTGAACAGTTTTGTAACTTGCCATGAAGCTGCTGGATTTAGGAGTGCGTCCCAGTGGAAACTTCGGTATTACTTAGCGCTCCTCCCTCGCTCCACGTAGGGTGCTTCACATTGTCTTCCAACAGCAGTGAAATTAGTCATTGATTGAAGCTTCAAGATTCAGCGCTGCCTCTAACATGACATTACATGGGTCACTTCCCTTAATCTCACCTGGTCGGTCATTCCTGACGATGTCTCCCTTCCAGCGAGATGTGCATTTGGAATCATTAAGCCTCTGTGTGTCATTCACACCCTGTGTCCTTTCTGGTCAGCTCAGGAGCCCCATTTCTCCTGCTGGAGCAAAGCCCTGAGAATAAGGAGTTCAGCGATAAACTCTGTCTCCAAGTGACCTGTGTTACCCACAAGCACAGATGCCCTTGGCTGCTTTTAGAAGCATGCTGCACTGCCATAGCACTTGGGACAGAGGACCTAAAGGGTCAGAATGATTCACTGAACTCCAGGGCCAGGGGTAGCAATTTGGACAGCAGCAGCCTTTTCTTCTTTTCTTTCCTTTTCTTTTCTTTGCTTTTTTTTTCTTTTCTTTTCTTACCACTCTCTTCCTTTTCTGCCTCTTCAACTGTTAAGACTCAGAAGCCTACTGGTTCTCATCAGACATCCCTTTGGTGCCCACGTCATGTGTACTTATGTTCCGTATGTCCTAAGACAGCTGGGCTGACAGACACATACTTAGGACAGAATAGACATGAGACCCCAGACAACCAGCAGGAATCTGGGCAAGCTAGTGATGTTTGATGACTTAAAGGTGTTCGGGCCCCGGGAGAGCTTGGAGAGGGGTGCCCAGCAGTTTCTTGCCAGAACTAGGACCAGCCTCTCCCGAAAAGTCAATGAAGGTACAGTACTCGGCTCTACCTCCCCACCCCCCAAACACACACACATTGTTGGCCTACTTATCACATGATTCAGTCAAATCTGTAGCCTAAAGTGATTAGCAGGGCATGAGACTTAACATTGTTGTGGTGTGAGACTAAGCGAAAGAAAGCCATGTAGTAGGGCCTTTCCAGGCAAGCTCATGGGGAAAGTCTGTTGGCTGGAAGTCAAAATCATGGCAGCCCTTCCCCTGCCCATAGAGTGGGTTTGGGCCAAGCACTAGAGTGAGGTGCATGGAGGAAGGAGTGGGCAACAGCCTTCACGTCAGTTTTATACCTACCCCATCCCTCTTGGTGAAATATCTTGACCTTGGTCAGCATCGGTCATTTTGGAGAGTGGAACATGGTGACCAAGCGTCTTCTGCTTCACTGATAGACTCTTCCATGATCAAAACCCCTGCTTGCTCTTTCCTCAGATCATGACAACTCATACTGTTTTATTCTTATTCCAAAAGTAAGACATAATTAATATAATTTATAAATTGGAAACCAGTGGAAAAATGCACAGACCATCCGTAGTTCCACATTTCAAAAGTGGTCACCATTTATATTTGGGTACATAGCATTCTATAATGTTTTCTCTGCTGCATTGGTTCTTCCCTCTTGTTTTTTTAAAGATTTGTTTATTTGAAAGAGCCACAGAGAGACTAAGAGACAGAGAGAGAGAGAGGAGAACGAGCTACATTCCAATGGTTTACTCCCCAAATGGCTGCAATGGCTGGGGCTGGCCCTGGCCCAGGCTGAAGCCATGAGCCAGTAACTCCACCCAGGTCTCCTGTGTAGGTAGCAGAGGCCCAGGTACTTGGGCCATCTCCTGCTGCTTCCTATGGTACACATTAGCAGGGAGCTAGATCAGAAGCAGAGGAGCGGGGACTCTTAACTAGACACTCTGATAATGGGATGTCCACATCCCAACGAGCAGCTTAACCTGGTATGCCACAGTGCTGGTTCATACTATGTTGATCCTTATTTTTTCTTGTAATAAAAAGTCATTGTTTCTCCTTATCATGTATGATAGTTGCAAAAACTTTTTTTGAATGTGGAGAAAGTGACAGTTCTGGTCTTAGAATCCATCTCCCAGACACAGCCATTAACCATTTGATGCCATGGTGTCCAGTCATCCTTATGTATTCCCAACCTTGAAAACAAAACTGAGAATGTAATATCCATCCTGTTTTATAACTGCTTTCCTACTTAGTATGTTATCTGGGTCTTTCCATGACAATGACACCTCTTGTTCATTATTGCCTGCCTAGGATTCCATTGTTCATGTGGTCCATAACTTATGATACCAACCCCTTGTTGGGGGGGTCTCTCTTATTCCTTCTGGGTTCTTCCAAGATCTCCTTCCTGGTGTTCTTCAGACAGGTACATAGATAGGCTTGTCATCTCCTTTGTATATACCGGAAAAACTCTCTGCTTCCTGCTCCGAATCCTTGTTACTCTTCCTTCTGAGGGGTTATAGTTCATAGATGAGATTGCAATCAACTAATACATGGGACAAAGAGAAAAACCTGTGAAAAGTCACTAGAGTGGGGTAGATAAGGTTTGTGATTTCACAGAGCAGGGGTGCTGAGTGGCATGTCATTTCATGATGTCTCTGGGAACTTGGTATCACTGAACTTAAGGAAGGTACTTCAAAAGGCTTGTGGAATTAAAAGATAAGTTTGGGGGGCCGGTGCCGTGGCTCACTTGGCTAATCCTCTGCCTGCGGCACCAGAACCCCATATGGGCCCCGGGTTCTAGTCCCGGTTGCTCCTCTTCCAGTCCAGCTCTCTGCTGTGGCCCGGGAGGGAGGGCAGTGGAGGATGGTTCAAGTGCTTGGGCACCTGCACCCGCATGGGAGACCAGGAAGAAACACCTGGCTCCTGGCTTCCGATTGGCGTAGCTCCAGCCGTAGCGGCCATTTTGGGGTAAACCAATGGAAGGAAGACCTTTCTCTCTGTCTCTCCCTCTCAACTGTCTGTAATTCTACCTGTCAAATAAATAAAAGTTAAAAAACTTTAAAAAAATAAAAATAAAATATCAGTTTGGGACAAGTGTTTGGGCCTTGCAGTTAAGATGCCAGCATCCCATATCATAGTACTTGAGTTTGAGTCCAGGCTCTGCCTCCTGCCTCCAGCTTCCTGTCAGTGTGGACCCAGGGAAACGATGGTGATGGCTCAAGTAGCTGAGTCCCTGCCACACACAAGGAGACCTGGATTTAGTTGCCAGCTCTCAGCTTCGACCTAGTCCTGTCCTGGCCACTGCAGGTATTTGAGGAGTGAACCAGTAGATGAAATCACTCCTGTGCTCACTCTTTCCCTACTGCCTCAAATTAAGTAAATTTATCTTGGTGCAAAAAGATTTCTCCTCCTGGAATATTGGGCCCCCGGGAGAAACAATGGACCAAGAACTGAGAAAATGCCTGTGGAGCTGGCTTGGATATTGCTATAGACACAGCAGCTGTCAACACCAGCATAATCATCTCTCTCTCCCTCTCTCCCTCCCTCTCTCCCTCTCCCCCTCTCTCCCTCTCTCCCTCTCTTCCTCCTTCTCTCTCTCTCTCTCTCTCTCTCTCACTCTCTCTCTCTCCAGGGAGGATGTAGAAGCAAGCAGCTACAGTTTCCCACTCTGGCCACTGAAAGAAGTTGACACTGGAGCTTTGAAAGAGCCGAAACAGGAGAACCCTAGAAAGAAGAAGAAGAAACCCGTCAAGAGGCCGCCTCTCCAGGAGATGGTACCTTCAGACTCGGACGACTCTTCCCGTGGCACCAGGTCCCACGAGTCCCCCCGCCAAGACGTGCCCCAAGCCCAGGGTAGGGGGAGGGACGACACTGTGTAATCTCCAGCATACCCTGAGATCTCTTTCAAAATAATGCATGTGAGATCATTCCCCAATTTCCAGGCCAGCGTAGGGCCCGGCACAGCAAGAATACCAACCCCCTTAAGTAATGCTGAAACCCACTTCTCCAGAGAAAGCCCTGGGCCAGAGGTGTAGGCGTCAGCCAGCCGTACCACCGCTGCCGCACCACCGCCTCCGGCATCCCCTCCCCTTCCTCCTTGAGCCGCCCACAGCAGCAAAGGCTGAGGACCATCGCTGGGAAACCTTAAAGGCAACCATGTTTAAGAAAGCCAGAGCTCCTGCAGGGCTGCCCAAGGCCTCACCCGGTGACACTGGGCCCTCTGCTGAGGTAAGGCTGCCCTGCATCCCACCTGTGCCCTCCTCTGTCTAGCACGGGCCCCTCTCCCCCGGCACCCCCAACCTGGCTCACCTACCTGTTGGAGCCTGTTGCTTCTTGCTTTTCCTGACCACTCGGTATCTTGTGTTTGGCCTTGGCCTCACAGAACAGCACTCAGTCTTCTGGCAGACTGTCCACACCCAGAGGTTTTAACCTGCCAAGTTACTGTCATAGGCTTTTAAATGTTTGTGGAAGTCAGCAAGGCCAGGATCCAAGCCTGCAGCCTTGTTTTAAATTGGTTGCCCCATGTGAAGTAGGTATTTTGTCACCCTTTGAGAGGACTGGAATTAAGAACTGGTAACTTGTCTCAGAGCTACAAGACTGAGCATTCACTGTTTGATTGTTTTCTGGATTTTTTAAAATTGAGCCCTCCCTAATTATTTTGTCTGTAGTCTGTTGTAGGTACCTCTAATTGAGCGTGGAACAGAATAAAAACTCTTACATTGGAAACCTTTCACAACTCCTGGATTGTTCATTACTGTTATCTTAGAACTCATTTTAGCAATGACATGGAAAAGGATTTGGTTCTGGTCACTGATTTCCAAAATGAAATAGCTCTCCCAGATTCCCTTTTTCTGGTTGATAATAACCCTGAGGCTAGGTAACAATAGACTACAGATTATTAATAAGAAAAGTATTGGACAGGCAGGGCTCTGATGCTCTCAAAATCTACAATCTAGTTAAAAGTAGAGCCCACTTTCCTGAAAACTAGGGGTCTCCAGGCTATGGTCAAGAAATTAAAGAAGGAATCGACTTGTAAAAATATGAAATAATAATGGATATCAGCTCAGCATCGGGCTAAAAATAGTGATGGAGTGAAGAAGGGATTGAGGAGTGAGGAGGGATCCACATCAAGGCAGGGATGGGATGTAGGAAGGGCATGCTGCCCCCCACTTCAGAGGTTTGCTCCCAGAAGGAAGCAGAGGGCCTGAAATGGACATAGTGGAGAGGTGCTGGAGTACATAGGAAACCATTCATCCAGCCATAGTCGCATAAGCTCGCAGGCACTCTTTGAATTGTACAACAAGCAACTGAGAGCTGACAGATGTGCCAAGTCCCAGTGAGATGCCATCAGATGCTACCTCCTCTGTATGTTCCTTCTCTTCCTTCATCTCACTTTCTTATTGGTCTAATCGCTGTTGGGGGTGGGGGAGGGACATGCAGAGATAAAGAACTCTAGGGCAAACAGACCCAGTATTGGTGTTACCTCATGGTGCATGATGTGTTTGATGCCCCATTCAATGTGATGGGGAAAATCACAGTGACAACAGAATGCTTCCACTTCCAGCCAATATGGAATAACAGGAACTAGATTTATATCCCCTCCCCCAAACAACCCCAACACCTGATCAAATGCATGGAACAACCGTTTCCACAGTGTTGGCCATCAAGCTGTAAAGGAAGGTGATCATAGAGAAACAAATGAGGTGAGTCCCATGAAGGCCCCCTTGACTTTCTGGAGACAGTTTCCAGGCTATAGCATAGCAGGGGAGGGAGAGAAGACCCATCCGGAGCCTGGAGCCCTCTGCATGTGAGAAGATGGTCCCGGGATTCTGAGGAGACCGAGGCAGCTGGAGCTCACAGGGTGGAGTGCCAGAGAGCAGGGCGCTCTGGCGACCCATCCAGAGGCTCCTTGGCGTCTTCAGCACAGTACTGATCAGTGCCTGGCTGTCAGCAAAGCACGCAAGGCTGCAGAAAGGACCACACAAAAAGAGGAGCAACTTCTGCTGCTCACGCAGGGCTGGGATGATTTCTGTTTCCTCCACAATAGAAAACTTCATTATTGAAGGGGCATCAGGTTACGTACTCAGAAGGGATCGGCCTCAAGTAGAGAAAACTTAGCCTTAGACAAAAAGTTTTTCTTGTCTACCTAACAAAGCTTAAAAGCAAGACCTGGATGGATCAAACTGTTTCCAAATACCTGTGTCCCCGAACAAAGCTCAAGAATATTTATAAGCTATGAAAACAGCTACCATGCAACAAGGTAAAATCTACAATGTCTGGCATCCAACCAAAGATTACCAGGCATGCAAAGAAGCAAGAAAATACAATGCATAATGAAGAGAAAAATCAATTGAAATTAATTTTAAAAATTATACAAAGTATAGTACCAGAAATGACAACTATGGCAGTATATATAGAAAATAATTGACTTTATAGAGTAATGGCTATAGCATGTGAATTTTTATCAGTCCCTGAATATGCACCTGGATGCATTTCTCGGGTGATTTGTGTGTTTGACTTTTTTTCTTTACTGAATGAATTCGCACATAATAAAAGGGACTCAATCTAAAAAAGAAAAAGAAAGACAATACTTTCAGGGGTCATTTCTATAGTTTGCTAAGAAAAAGAATAAGATAATAATGGCTTTATATCCAGATGTTATGCCTACCATATATAATTAGCCTGAAACACAAGCCGGGGGCAGAAGCATTGGGATAGAGTTATTGAAGTCATGTGGAATGGGTATAGGATGAGTCCCTGAAAGAGAGTAATGCTCTCCAGAAGAATGGGAACAGACGTTCACGCAGAGCCTAGATGACCAACTGAGTAGTATAAAAGAGATCCATGCAGCAAACGCCAGTCGCCTACATGACCTCTAAGTTCACGTTCAACCCCAGAAATCTATGACTCAATGACTCTGAGCAGTCCCTCATAGATGAAAAATTTGTCCTTGTAAAAGGTGGGACATAGCCAACAGAAGTAGACAAGATAAACTAATTGGGGGAACAAGAACTAGAAAAGGAGAAGTAATATTATATTTGCACATGATAGAGTGTACCTGAAGAACCTAACTCCAAAAAACACTTACCCAAACAATAAAAGAATTCAGGGAGATTGAAGATTTAAGTTTTTTTTTATTTTTTTTTCTTGTTTTTTACAGGCAGAGTGGACAGTGAGAGAGAGAGACAGAGAGAAAGGTCTTCCTTTGCCGTTGGTTCACCCTCCAATGGCCACCGCGGTCGGTGCGCTGAGGCCGGCACACCACACTGATCCGATGGCAGGAGCCAGGTACTTTTCCTGGTCTCCCATGGGGTGCAGGGCCCAAGCACTTGGGCCATCCTCCACTGCACTCCTGGGCCACAGCAGAGAGCTGGCCTGGAAGAGGGGCAACCGGGACAGAATCTGGCGCCCCGACCGGGACTAGAACCCGGTGTGCCGGCGCCGCAAGGCAGAGGATTAGCCTAGTGAGCCGCGGCACCGGCCTGAAGATTTAAGTTTAATATGCAAAAACAAATGCACAAAAATCATGACCAATTTAGAAGACATTGATAGAGAAAATTTCATTTACCTTATCCACAGAAAAATGAAATATAGTTGCTTCTCACCCGTGATAGTCATGTTCGCAAAGCTGTCTCTGACGGTGAGTACTGAACCATTATCTCTAGGGGAAATATAAAGTTAGGTTCCTACAAGCTTCTGGCCATGATAATGTCATCAATCAATCAATACGTCATCTTGTCTTCAGTGTGCTTCTGTTTAAAGACACTTTATTTAATATATTTTGTTGATTCATTAACATCCTCATGTCCAACATACTATAAGCCTGAACAAAGCTTACTGAACACAAAGAATTTCTCCAAATTGCATTTCTTAGCCTTCTTGAGTTTAAGAATGCTGAACAGCACTTCAGCGCCACACTTGCAGGCCATTTTAAATAGTGAAATCACCAACAATAGGCACAAGCATGTAGCCATGACGTTATATATGAAGGTCCTTCAAAAATTTTATGGAAATGGAATAAAATGATTTATTTTGGTGCAAAAAATCTTTGAAATTCAGGCTTTTTTTTAAAGATTTATTTTATTTATTTGAAAGACAGAGTTACAGAGAGAGTAGAGACAGAGAGAGAGGTCTTCCATGCACTGGTTCACTTCCCAGATGACTGCAACGGCCAATCCAAAGCCAGGAGCTAGCAGCTTCTTCCAGATCTCCCACGAGGGTGCAGGGGCCCGAGGACTTGGGCCATCTTCTACTGCTTTCCCAGGCCATAGCAGAGAGCTGGATTGGAAGAGGAGCAGCTGGGACTAGAATCAGCACCCATACGGGAGGCCAGTGCTTCAAGCCAGGGCGTTAACCCACTGCGCCACAGTGCTGGCCCCAAGGCATAGTTTTTTAATAATATGCATTTTCCATGTATATTTTGAAGACCCTTTACATGCATGGATTTCAAAATACATTTGTCTTTGGCTCTTATTTTCCACAAACTTTCTGAAGAACCCCAGTGCATTAAGAAAAGGACACGGTTATAGTAGAGGAGCTAAGACAGGAGGGCAGCCAGGTAACAGATTTCTCACAGCTTTCAGCATGCACCCATCTCTAAAATGCCTTGAGCACTAATTTGGAGACTTTGAATAAACTTTAACAAGTAGGTGAATTCACATATATGGGATCTGTGGATAATGAGAATGGACTGTACCTAGAATAAACTTAACAAGAAGTGTACAAAAACAATATGTGGGGGCCAGCGCCGTGGCTCACTAGGCTAATCCTCTGCCTTGCGGCGCCGGCACACCGGGTTCCGGTCGGGGCGCCGGATTCTGTCCCAGTTGCTCCTCTTCCAGGCCAGCTCTCTGCTGTGGCCAGCGAGTGCAGTGGAGGATGGCCCAAGTGCTTGGGCCCTGCACCCCATGGGAGACCAGGAAAAGCACCTGGCTCCTGGCTTCGGATCAGCGCGATGCGCCAGCTGCAGCGTGCCGGCCGCACTGGCCATTGGAGGGTGAACCAACAGAAAAGGAAAACCTTTCTCTCTGTCTCTCTCTCTCTCACTGTCCACTCTGCCTGTCTATATATATATATATATATATGACTCTAAGGCAGTCCTAAAAGACACAGAACAGCTGTGAACATTCCTTCCTTTAGACAGGATGACTCAGCATCATGAAGATGATCGTTCTCTCCGAGTCTGTCAATTAGCCCCACACAATCCTAATAAAAACAACAGCAAATGTTTTATGAAGCTTGAAAAGCTGATAGTTAATCTCATGGAAAAATAAACATGTGAAAGTAAACTAAGAAAATATTGCAAGATAAAAACCAAAGGAGGAGCTTATGCTAACACAGTAAAATGTAAAACCTTTATGCTTAAAACAGTGTCATAACAGCACAAGAAAAGATAAACAATGGATAGACCAAAATGCAGTCCAGAAAAAGACATAATTCTATAATATATGGAATGGAAGTTTACTGTATTATGAAGTTGACATCTCAAGTCACCAGAGCTTTATAATAACTGATGCTGGATCAACTAGTGTCTACTGGAAAACACTAAAATTAAATCCATGCCTCAGACCACACCTTCGAGTGGATCCAAGCCCTAAATATAAAAATATACTGTGAAAACAGTAAATTCCTCTATAACATATGTATTCAGAAAGTCTTCCTCACTATAACTCAAAACCCAGATGTAATAAAATGCTGTTAACCTTGGCTGCATAAAAATAGTTTTC